AAGGCAACCAAGTGGATGAAACCCTAGAGGTGTTGTGTGTAATGTGTTGTCATTTTTCATGCATTTTTGTCTTGCATTAGGTCATGTTATTTGTTTGATTTTGTCTTAGCATACAAACCCTAGTTTTTACTAAACATGCATATAATGCAATAAATTGCGTAAAGTAAATCTAAGCTATTACAACAATATTATGGGAGGGGATACAAGTTTTGAATGGGGGATATTGCTCAAAATAAAACCCTAATTCACTATTACAACCCAATTGAATTCATTATACAAATAAATAAATAAATAAATAAAGAAGTATTTAAATATGCAATAAAAATGTAAATATGCAAAAAAGTTTTCTAATTGTTTTATGTATGAGAAAATAAAATTATTTAAGCCTTAAAAATAAGAAAAAATAATAATATTATTTTTGAAAGGGGAAACCCTAGTTTTTTGTTTTAAAAGAAAATATATTTTCTATTATTCATTTTATTCATTTATGTAAAAAAAAATTATTTACAAATATTAGAAATTAAAAATATATGTAAAAATAATATTTTATGTGTTAAATAGTAAAAATAAAAATGTATAATATTTTAAGGTATTTACAATTTATTTTAAGAAAATAATTTCTATTTCACTTAAACTAATCAATATTTTGTGCAAAAAATAAGATAAAAATAAAATAAAAATGCAAAAAAATCAAGAAAATATTTTTGGGATTTTTTTATGTTCAGAAAAAAATATTAAAGCAATAAATATAAAAAATGCAAAGAAAATATGAAAAAGAAAACAAAATATGCAAGGGGGTGTGGATAGTGGATCAGGGGGTGTAACAAGTAGAAACAGCAAGCCCAAGCGCGCCAGGCCCAGGCTGGCTTCATCCCTGTCCTCCAGCCAAACAATTTCGCGCGTTCTGCCTTCAAATCACGTTCTTGCTCATGCTTGCATAAAATCAAAAACTCATAACATAAAAAGTGTAGCTTGTAAACTCACGATTCCAATGATATAAAGTTTGTGACCTAACACTCAAAGATCAAGGAGAATTTAATCACCCCTAATTTCTGACCTAGTTTTTTCATGAACTTCAAACTTCAAATTCTCACTACTCAGTTAATATAAATAAAAACTATGCATATGTACAGCTTAAGCAAGTTAAGGACTACATCTTTGCTTCACAAATCGTGACCTAAGGATGCTTAAATAGAGAGATAGAAACTTGAAAAATACCTTGTTCAGTTGAGTTTGGATATGGAAATGTGGGAACTTTGAGTGAGGCCTGAAGATCGTGTGAGCTTCCTTGAAGTTCCCTCAAGCTTTTCCAATGCTCAGCTTGCCTTGTAGATGCTCGAATCTCCCTGTAGAAGTCAACCTGCAAACCTCCAAAATGAAAATGGTGATCCTTGAAACAGGGCACACAGTTGCAAGACAAAGGCCTGGATAGTTTAGGTGTGATGTAGGGAAGATGTTTCAAGGGTTGAAAGGCAAAACACACGAGCAAGTTTCAAGTTGGCAAGTGATTTGCAGAGGTTGCCCTGTTTGGGCAGAAAATGGTGTTTTTTGTGTTTGAGGGTGTTTGAGATGTTAGCAATTCGTGCTTAGGCTTGTTACAAGGTTCTGAAGTTGTGTAGAATAATGCCAAGGCTTCTTTTTATCAGATATCCCAGTTCTATTGACTTTTGCAAGTTTGCTTGCTTTTGAAGAAAGTTGGAAGTGACAATGCCAAAGGCATGCACAGGCTAGCTCTAGGGCTGCAAGGAGTTGGTATACTTTGCCTGATGTTTGTGGATCTTGCTTGCAACAAAAGATCAGATCCATGGCTCAAGATTTGCAAAGTTTCAAAAAGCATGCTTTATCAAAATGGTATTATGAACTTTATGCCATAAATGGATTAAACTCTTGTACAAAGCTCCATAGGTCAGAATAAAGCCAATATCCATTGAATTTGCATTAAATTATGGAGTGTAGAAAGGGTTAGGACCTGTAATACCAAGTACAAGCATGCTAGGACAGATTTGCAACTTGAAGCATTTGTAAACATGGCTTGAACAAAAGTGATAAATTGCAATTTTCCCTTCTTCGATTCTCCCTAACCATAAATGATCTTGGATAGTTCTTGGACCTTTTGGAAAGCTTGTAACATGCTCTAAAATCCATATTTGAAATGCAACTTGAGATTCCTCTTGGAACTAGGTGAAAAGTTGCCATGAAGTTAGGTAAAAAACCTGCCTAAACAAGGGCAAAATTTCACTAAGTTAAAAAGTTTATGGACCCCTATTCACAAAATCATAACTTGAGATCCAAACAGCTTTTGGGAAAACTTTATGAATCAAAGTTGTAGATTTCATGGAGGAATACAACTTTCATGTTTGAAGTTTTCTTTGAATCCAATTGCATCATGGTGAAAAAGTTGGGGAAAGTTGGGGAAAAAATAAGAAATTTTCATAACTTAGAAAATTTCTAAGCTATGAAAAATTTTCAAATTGAAACCCTAATTTGCAATATTGGTTTTCTTGATCAACAAGTTTCATATTTTGATAAATCTTGATGAATTATGGCCCTTGGCACTTGATTTTGACCAAAAAAGTCAAAGTTTGACTTTTCAGTGTATAGTTGATTTTTGATCAGTTGACTGCAAAATTCATCTGTCAATCCTATGCATTTGTGATCTTTTGAACTATGTGATTAGGTCAAGATGATGCTATTGAGTCCTTGAAATCATGCTTGAACCCAATTGGTCATTGGCTAGGTTAAAAATCAGAAATTGCCCTTTCTCAGTCAAAACCCTAATTTTGACCATTTTGCCCTTTTGATGATCTGATCAAATTTCTTGAGGACTTGTGATCTAAACTTGATCAAATGGTACATAGGATCAAATTTCTCCCATGATAACTCATCTTCTGTTTCCATCAAAAGGTTGAACCAATGGATGGTTGCACCTTCCATGCTTAAACACGCTAATTTCACACACATCTCCTCCAATGTATTTTGCACATCAAAATAGATCTCAGCACTCGTGATCCACGTCACCTGGTCATCACCTTCAAACAACGACAATTTCACCTTCTTTCCTGCAAGGGGAGACTCATTAGGAGATGAGTCACCCACAGAGTTCTTCTCTTGAGTAACCACCTTCTTTCCCACTTGTTTACTCAGCTCCGTCGTAATCAAGCTCTGTTGCTGCATTTGCAACGCAAGCTCTTGCAACACCGTCTCTATATTCTCAACTTGTGTATCCAATGCATCAATATGATCACCCATCTTAGGCTTCCTTGGCATCTACAACTTTCAATGGCGGTGTGAATCAGATTCGGTAGGTCGGACCAATTGATAGGGTACTATAGCAGATTATATGATGTTGTGAAAGAAATGGCAAGAGAGAATAAAAGCAATGCAATTGTATTCAATCAAGGAGTCACAATTACATGTAAATGAGAAAGAAAAACGATGCAACAAACTGATAGTGAAATCCCAACCCTAAGAAGCAGGTATGCCTCTTTCCAAATCACCTAGAGGTGACCCCACAAAATCATAACAGAATTCTTAGCTCTCTTTCCTCTACCCCCACTCACTCTTAATATATCATTTTCTCATACTACTCATACATTCTTAACCACGTCATCATTTCCCTTTCCTTTTGTCTTTTTCCTCGTATAAACCTTCCACGCCCTTGGCCCAGGCCCATACTCAAAGCCCACACTATTCACCATGTTTCTATCACGGTACGACAGTAAGTTACTGAAAGAGGTGGTAACACTATTGAAAGATGTGGATTTTCTTATCTTGATAGAGATAAGTTGCAGATTGAGTAACACAGAAAATGAGAAATCTGAAAGCAAAAAGGAAATATTGGGGAAACACCGTTGATAAGAGAAAAGATAGAATTAAAAAAAATCATAGTGCGTAGAGTGAAAGATCAACGATTTGAGAGAAAAATAGAGAAATAATGCTTGAATTCCATGTTGATCATCTTGAACACTGAAAGGGACAAAAACCAAAGGGTTCTCTATTTGTGCATTCATGTTTTTATTTTTGCACAAATTCTGCATAATTTCGACATTGTTCTGCATTTCTAGTTAAGCAATTCTGATAAATGCTTAAAACTGTATCTCTTTATAGTTGTGCATCTTCTGCTGGTCTAACTACCCTGTTTTGTTTTTATAGTTGCATGCAGTTTCTCTTTCATATATTTTCTGTTTTGCACACATTCTCTTGGCTTCTGTGGTGTTGGCTGTTTTAGTTTCATTTGCAGTTTTTGGGGGCTTCCTAATGTCATGTGAACCAACAGATGCAAAGAATCGGACGTTTTAGTTCTTTTTCAAGTTGGAAAATTTGCCAAAACCAATGAATGGGAGACAATGCTCATTTTTTGTAATAGAGTATTATGTATGAAATTGGTAATACTACAATTTTTTCTTTTCAATCACATTGCATACACAACCTTGGAGTTTTGCATGTCTTTTCTAAGTTCATTACCCCAAAGTGCTATTCACCCATGTATGTCTCTAACTGTAATTCCATTGCACCTTCAATGTTTCATTAGCTTCCACTATCTCACCTTTATGATTTGTGGTATGACAATGTGAAAAGAAAACAAACAAGGAAGTATTGGAATTTGGAAGTAATTCAAAAATTAAAGCAGTTTGTTCAGGCAAACTCTAATTAGGAGTCAACCATCGAATTAAAATTCAACAAACAGTACAGCTCACTCCCGTGATATTTCAGTCATAGTCTATTCTATGATATTACAATCTTGGTTCAATCACCTTATAGATTGAAAGACCCCTATAGTTAGTATACATAATGGTAATAATACTATATAAGAATAGCATACCAATTCTTCTTTCTTTCTGGACGAAGAAAATCCAGGTTTCCAAATGACTCTTTCAAATAGAAGACATAGAAAACCTGCTGCATGTTGAGACTGCTCAAATCATTGCTAACTGCAAATAATATATTTGATATATACACTCTAGGCTAATAGCTACTGGTTCAACAACTTCTGTAAGCTTTCAGAGCTCCATCTTCAATTGATTTGAGTGTAGAGATGCTGTAATACAATATTAAACTTAATAGAGCAACTGAAATGGTCCATAGGCATATATTAACTACTCGGGTCCTTTTAAGATCCCTTTATGAAAGCATCATACACCATAAAGTCAAATTATATTAAACATGTCTTTTGAGAGTTAACATGGAAAATAGAAGTTAAATTCAGATCTACCTGAGTTTGCCGAGGAGTCATAACTCAAAAGTGAGTTTTCCTGAGTCATGAAATTATGGTTGTCTTCTTCCCTTCCCCAAAGTGGTTGATGGAATGCATCATCAACTGGCCACTGCTGTTGATAATGTTGTCTGTTACTGTTGAGTGGGATTTCTGGCCACACAAGAGGCGTAGCCATGCTAGGTAACATGCTGTCCATTAAAGATGGCCCCTGTAAATTATCAAGGAGATTTCATGAATGGTTCTCAACCATTAACTGAAAAGGCTGAGGTTGCAATATTAATCACGGTACTTCGTCAAAATCATACCCCATTCCCCCACCCCCAACTCCTAACCTAGTTGAAGACATTCAAACACTCATTTTAATTTCCATAAACCAAGCCAGCAACTTCTGACCTTGATTCAACTGCAATGTGCCAGAGGATTCACAATTAATGAACAGCATAGATTTAGCCAATCAAGTGCAAACCTAAGCACTGGACCTACCGACAACACTCACATTACTACTTTGTGTAATCTTCATAGTGCTTCTTAGTTGTTTTGTTTTGGCAAGACCTCTTAACAGAATGACATAAATCACTATAAATGGCTTCGAGCATCTTTCAGTGTCCCCTCATGTACCATTTCAGTTATTTATTGTACAGATACACATTAGGCAAAAACAAGTACAGTCTATGTAAAGTGTTAATGGAACCAATGATAAAGAATAGAAAGTGCTTTATAAGGAACTTTCGTATATTTTCCCTCATTCCGATTGCTCCACCAGCCCCGGAAAGAAATAGATAAGTTATTCTTTTCTAACAAAAGTTAAATTGAGTTGGATTAATTAATAATACTTACATCAGTAGCCAATAACCTGTCTAAGTTGAAATCAATTCTTGGATTAACTGCTGCCAGTTTCATCGATAAGATCTACAATCAGTGCATAAATCAATGAGAACAAAATCATTTTGATGAAAGCTAACTCAAAACTGTTGTCTTCCAATATATATGTCCTCAGTCTTGTAAATCGTGATATATTTTCGCATATTAGACTCACCTTTCATTTCGAAGCATGGCTATTTTTACAAAATATTACAAGAATGTTATAGCTTTTGAGCATATACACTATATAAATCAATAAGCATTTGAAAAGTCCACAATATGAGGGAAGGATAATAAGTAGACCCATTGAGAAAAGGATATTTCAAAGTAGGTTTTAAGTCAAATAGTCCAAAATCATGGGACCAAGACAGCTTAATGTTTGATGTACAATGTTTACTACTGCTTGCTTACAGGTAAGCAATGTTATATGTGTTCCATGACAGCTTAATGCTTGATGTACAATGCTTACTGAATATCAATTTTGAACATGTAAAGAATTTGGTAAGCAAACCCAACCTTTTTTTTCCAAAAGTTTCTATTCATAATCCATGATTAATTGAGAAACAAATGGAAAATAATAAACACGTATAGCGTGATGATTGTTCAAATAAATTCATGTAAAAAGATGGCAGTGCGAAAAGTCCAACCTCCACTTGACGTTGTAGAGTTTGCACATGGTTGATGATTTCATCAAGAACCAATGCCGTTCCAGATATCTGTAGTAAAAATCATGTCATATCAGGCATCAGCTGTAGTAAAAATCATGTCATATCAGGCATCAGCTGTAGTAAAAATCATGTCATATCAGGCATCAGCTGTAGTAAAAATCATGTTATATCAGGCATCACCTATATTAGACAGATCTTAGCTATTTTGTGTGTTCATCCAACAACATACTTGAACTAAAAGTTTAAAAACTGATTAATGATTAACATTTTGCAACAAAAAAAGGCTTAAATATTAGATGTCAGATAGTAAAGTTAACCGCATGGTACTCCTAGATAAGTCACTGTAACATGAATTGTCACAAAACAAGGCCAACATGCACCATCCCCTCCTCCCTCAAAATTTTTTGATCCTTCTTTCTTTCAACCAACAATAGCCCACCCAGCTTGAGATAAATCATTTTTTCCCTTTTCTGTTTGTTTACTTTGATACATCTGATCTGAGACCTATTTAGTTGTTGGCAGGACACACACCATTCTCAACAATTGAAAGCTTATATATACAAGTTTAGTTCACTAATTGCATATGAGGTTAGCATACATTTCAAGAAACACCAGTATTTCTCTGTTATTATTCTTTTTCGATAACACACAAATATATAAAGACTAAGGAGCATAATAAGGTTGTCTTCATTCAAAAAAAGATGAATCCTAACTGTGCAAGAGCAACACAAATGAACAGTCTCAATTTTACACTTGGTGAAAGCAAATTCCATGTGATTCATTATAAAATATCCATGATTTGATTAAGTCAAAGGTTGCACTTTAAAATTCTGGGTTTGACATACTATCACTTTTATGCATTAATCAATCATGTACAGTGTTGTAGGTTGTATGTCAAAGAAAAGATGGTATAAGATCCATTCATAGCGTAATAAGAAAGACCCAAAAATTGAATAGAAGAACTATTCCAGAGAACGTATTTCCTAAAGTGACCCAATTTGCTAAAAGAAGCCCCCAAGATGCAAAAATTATTAAAAAAAATATTTATATTAAAAAATTCTTTTGAGCATCCAATAAAACTGTGTAGAGAAGGTCAATGTCAGAATGAGCAAAAAAGCTGGATGTTTGGACAAAACTAACCTTCGAAAAAGATTTGTAACCAGAAGGAAATCCCCAAAAAGTGAAACCAAAGAGAAGGTAAAATTACACATATGCCAAGTTCGGCACCTGCTGCCATTGGGCACTTCACTTGACGTGAAAGCAACCACTGTTAGCAGAGGTTTAAAATGGTCCAATGAAAAAATCGTTATTATTAAACCGTACTTAAAAATTAAAATCCATAATTGCACTTTAGCGGACAATTTCGACAGAAAATGATAAATAATCTACACAAAAATGAGTAAAGCACAATTAATTAGAGTAGTAATGTAATTAGTGACTGACCTTGTCACAGCCTGGGACCAGCTCTTGTAAAAGCTTCATGCGTGCATTAATCTTCTCTCTCCTAGCCTAAACCACAAAACCAATTAAAACACTTTATTTATACATCATGATCCAAATTAAACAAACTAATTAGTGATTAGTGATTATTGAGAAGGTTACTCGTTCTGCCAAGCTATGGCTATCTGTGGCTTGACCTCGTCGAACGCGAACATGGACGTAGGGAAGCTTCTCACCCTCACCGGAGGTATCATCGGCGATGCTCTTGCTCTTCTTCGAGCACGCTTTACCCTTAATTTCACAAAATCATTGATAATCATTCAACTGAAAAACAGAAACCCTAATTTCTCGATTCTGTTGAAATTGAAGGATACTGTACCTTCTTCTCTGGCTCCTTTCTCTTCACGGTTCTCTGATTCTTGTTTTCAACAGCTGGATCGGAAACGCACTCTTGAGTCGAGCAAGGGTTTGAATCGGTATCTTGAGGTTCATTCTTCACAATTTCCAAATTCGGTTCAGACACCGGCGAAAACAGCCGCGCCTCTCCGGTGGAAATATCTCCGGCGAACACGGAGAATTTCGCGGCACGTTCAATCAAAGCAGCGTTGACAGGGAAGGTCAAATTATTACCGTCGGAAGAACTCGGAAGATAGGGTTTCTGATTCACGCTGACGTGGCAGCAAGGCAGTCTCCGGGAGTCTGTTCCGTCGCAATCCGGCAAGTGAAGAAGCTCTACGGCCTGCGTTGGAGGAAGCTCCAGTAGAGCTGTGAATGAGCTTGCGTTTTCCGGTGCCGGCGCCGGCGCCGGCACCATAATTCCTTGAATTTCATCATTAAATTGAACGGAATCGAGGTGAATGGATCCACTCAATCCTAATGTAGGTTGTTCCATTGAGGAAGAAAAATTAACGATTCAATTGAAGTTATTGGACTTAAATTATGTTCAATTTGACGATTTTTGAACGGTATAGAAGCAGTGAGTGAGAGTGGTTTAATGGCGGTCAATATGTTTCTCTTTCTCTCTGTTTGTTTCTATCTTGTTCTGTGATTCTGTCTCTGCGATTGCTTCTCAGCCATTTGAAGTACTGCGAAAGCAACGTTACTACGTATACGGTTACTCTACTACTGTGTTGGGTATACGAGTACGGTTCAATACAGTTTCCTTGTGACACAGGAATAGGGGACCACTGCCCAAACCGGGGTCCACTGATATGCATATATCAGTTTTTCATTTTTAATATTTTAGTTTTACTCTACCATAAAATCTTTCGGGAAACGACCAAATTGATTCTGAAGTAGAGATGGCAATTAATATCTATGGATATAAGTATTAATTTTTTTTCTATTCGGTAAATATGATATTTGTATCTCTTTTATATATGTATGGAAATTCGTGGATTTTAAGATATATGCGGGAATATATATGAATATTTATGGATATTTTTATTTTTTAAATATATAATAAATTAAATTTTTTATCCTTTTTAAAGATAATAAAATAATTTTAAATTTAACACATAATAATAATAACAAAAATAAATCACATTTATTTTATTTTTTCTTTTTATAAATAATTATATTATGCTCAACAAAATAATAATAGTTTCATATTCAACAAAATAATAATAATAATAATAATAATAATAATAATAATTTTAATAATTTTAGATAAAATAAATTAATATTTAAATAATTTTATTAATTATTAATGAGTACGGACATCTCTGAATACGGGTATCATCAAATTCATATTTGTACTTGTAAGTAAATGGGTAATTAAATTTCCGTTTATTTTATTCGTTGATACTCATTAAGACAATCTACCCATGCCTGTGACGGGTTTTATCCGCGGGTACTCACGAGTACGAATTTTTTTGTCATCCCTATCCTCAAGTAAATACTATATGTTTCAATATAGGTAAGACTGACAATGAACCAAACCAACTCGAAAATAGTTTGAGATTCGATTCAGTAATTAATTTGTTGGACTTGGCTCATGAACCAAATAAGTTGAATTTGAGTTCAAAATTAAGTTTGTAAAATAAATGAGTTAAACTTGAGCTATGTATAGTTCGATTCGTTTGATTCATGAACTGACTCGGTATATAAGTTTTATGAAGACGTCAATACTTAGTTTTCATATTTAATTATATCATTTGAAAGATGATAAAATATTTTATAATTTTATTGATTAAAAAAATACAAATTAAACATAGTAAAATATATGTTACAAAATTAAATTATAACATTTTATTATTTGCTCATATTACCTACTTTTGATGATAATATCTTGAACTACAATATATTATTTTGAGATGAAACTTATATTATATGAAAGTTAGAAATATTATCAATAATTCTTATGAATACAATAAGGATAAATAAGATTGTTTTAATTGTCATATTATTCATCAAAGTTAACTATTTAGATAAGTTTTAACTCTTAAAATTATTTTAATTCTCTTTAACTTTACTATTAAAGTCCCACATTCCTTACCTTATCCTATTCTCCTATATATAGAACTCATAACTAACATGAGTTATATCTAAGAGTTTCAAGACACTTTCTCTTCTAAAAAAAGTTCATTGTATGGCCCTTACTAAAAAATTTAATTTTTATTTTATTTTTTTGTCTATTTTTGAACTATTTAGTCAGACCGAGTTCGAGTTATCGAGTTGAACCGAATTATTTGTGAACTTTGGACGAGCCGAGTTCGAGCTGGAAAAAAAGTCCGTGATGAACTCGAGTCAAGTTTCGAGCTGAACCAATTCTTATCGAGTCGAGTCGAGCTGAACTAAGGTTCGACTCAGGTCGACTCATTTCCAATCCTAAGTATAGGGAATAAGAAAGGATGTATATGAGATCATGGAATCAATTAGTGTAGTGGAAGTTGTTCTCCGATGCGATTGATGGAGGGAGAATCTGCAAAGTTAACATTTTAATATTCATGGTCGTCAATGAATTTAAGTAATGGAACAAATTATGGTTAAATTGTATCAACACAATTGTCATGGATACTTTGTATACGGGAGGCGGTTAGAATTGTTCCTAGTTTCCTGGAATTGAACACGAGGGGTCTGTTAGATTATGTCTAATGATGGGTAGTTGCTTGTGGTGTGGATTGAGTATAAATCTAATAACTTTAGGTACATTGAACCATTGACTCCTTCATAGGTGCACCTTTGAACTATCTCCCCGTCATCAACCCTTTCATAAAGCCAATGGCACAAATAAAACAGAAAATTGGTGAGGAGAATATAGTTCCCATCGACAAGGAAGTAGGAAAACTGCGTCGGCTTCATCATGGAGACAAAATATCCATCCTGATTAGTCAATGTAGTGTTGGTGAAGAAAGCAGCGAACAAGTGGTGTATGTGCATTAACTTTACCAACCTCAACATGGCCTGCTCTAAGGACCCATATCCCTTACTAGATATTGATTGCTTAATTGAGAAGTTCTCGGGCTACTGCATGGTGAGCTATATGGATGCTTATTCAGGGTACAACCATATTAGAATATATGCTTTGGACGTGGTCAAGATGACGTTCATGTTGAACCATAGAAACTACTATTATAGTGCCATGCTCTCTGACCTCAAGAATGCTAACGCCTCCTACCAACGACTCATGGACACTGTATTCTCGCACCAGATAGGGAAGAATCTAGAGGTATATATTAACGACATGATAGTGAAATCCATCAAATGGAAATTATGCAATAGACTTGTACGATGCCATGTAGGCAGTCACAAAGTGTAACATGCTATAGAATCCCACCAAATGTTCCTTCGGGGTGCATCTGGAGAAGTTCCTTGGCTTCATGCTTACAAAGAGGGGCGTTGAAGCAAATCTAGATAAGTGTCAAGTTGTAATCAAAATGAGAAGCCTCCAACGTCTAGGAAGTTCAGTAGCTTACAGGTTACCTTATCTTCCTACTTGTTTCCTCTCTTGTACGAACAACGAGGTTTTCCTCTTCTTCGCCGCCTTAAAGAAGTTGGAGAGGTTCGAGTGGACCAGAGAATGTGATGAGGCTTTCTCGAGAATAAATCCTTCTTGACGTCTTCGCTTGTCCTATTTTCTAGAGGGAAGTATCACCATTGCTCCTTTACCTTTTAGTCATAAATCAGGAAATGAGTCCAATACCCGTTCAAGAGACAAATAAGGTATAAAGGCTAATGTATTTCATAAACAAAGTGTTCAAAGGTACAAAAACACATTACTAGAAGATCAATAAGCTATATTTGGTCGTCATTATAGTGGCGAGAAAGCTTAGGCCCTATTTTCAAGGTACAAAAGTACTTGTAAAAACCAACGATCTTGTCTGACGGGTCCCAAAGACACCAGATCTGGCAGATCGAGTGGTATCATGTGCGGTGGAATTCTCAGAGTATGAAATCTAGTATGTCTCGAGAGGAGGCATTAAATACCAAGTTTTAGCATTTTTTTGGTAGAATTCATCTTGTCGGTTGATGAGGAGACGTCCTCAAAGTGGACATTATCAGCTGATGGTGCATCAAATGTAAAAGGAAGCAGTGCTGAAATAGTATTAGAAGTACCTAAAAACCTATGGATTAAACAAGCACTGGATTTTCATTCAAAGCTAGCAATAATTAGGTTGTGTATGAAGATCTAATTGTCGACATGGTTCTCGCCCTATAAATGGGTGCCTCCAGGTTGAAGGAAAAAAGTGATTCACAGCTAGTCCCTAACTAGGTTGCCAAAAAGTACCTGGTAAAAGAATCACATATCGTAAAATATTTCAATAAGATATAAAATTTATCAACACACTGTACATCATTTAAAGTCGAACAAATTCCAAACTTGCTAGTTCGAAGACTGTGGGGGTTGAATAGAATAAAAATACAAGAGACTCTCGTGGCCCCGATATTAAGGCAAAAATATATATTCCTTAAAAGTCAACCCCGAGTTAGGATGGATGTCTCCCATACTACACTATCTACAGGAGGACAAGCTCCCTCAAGACCAAGAAGAAGCAAGGAAGGTTTTGAAGCAGGCGATAAAATACACCCTTCTTACCGGAAAACTCTACGAGATGGGAAGATCCTCCATGATTCTATGATTTTTAGGGTAGAATGAAATCATCTTATAACTTGTTGAGGTCCATCACGGGGCCTACGATAGCCATATTAGTAGCAGAGATATCACCCACAAGCTACTTAGGGCATGATATTTTTGGCTCACCTTGCTAAAGGACAACATGTTTTTCATCAAGATATGCAACCAACGTCAGAGACACACAAACCTTCATCATGCTCCAGCTGAACTTCTTTATTCCATGACATCGCACTGGCCTTTTTACTAGTGAGGGTGGAATTCCTAGGTCCATTCCCCTTGTGGTCTGGGATACTAAAGTTTTTTATTATAAGAGTCGTCGCCAAAATCACAGTAGAAAGGGTTTGCTACTTCTGATAGCAGAAGATCATGTTCAAGTTCAGACTACCCGACATCATCGTCTATGAAAATGGAACCCAATTAGATATCACCATACTCAATAAATTTTGTCGTGAATCAGGAGTTCAAACAAAGTTCATATTTTTTGTCCATGCATAAGCCAATGGATGGATGAAGTCAACAAACAAGGTGGTCCTAAAAGGAATCAAGAAGAACATTGATGATGCCAAGGTGTTATAGGCGGAGTAACTCCATGAGATATTATGGTCGTACCGCAACATGCTTCACTCAAATAATAAGGAGACTCCCTTCACCATACTATACGGGGCAGGTGATATATTGCCCATAAAGATTGATATGCCTTTGTAACGATGGTTCCAATTCAACCAGGAGGGCTAAAGTGTTTCATGGGTTTGGTCAATGAGGTAATAGACGTCATCTGCATTTGGGAATTCGTCGCCAAGAAAAGAGCTCCTAAA